CGTGAATGACAGGGAATAGTTACACAGGTTAGTTGGGGCATGTGATTGGTTTGGTGTAGGCAGTAGAATTAGATGATGGTGTTAATTTAATACATGAGGTCAAGATTTTAGATGATGATAAAGCTCTTGAGCTCTTCTGTTGGCATGCCTTCAAAACAAGTGAGCCGCCTTTGGGTGATTATGTGAAACTTGCAGAACGTGCAATACGCTATGCTCAAGGCCTTCCTTTGGCTTTGAATGTTCTGGGTTCATGTCTTTGTGGTGGAGATATGGATAAATGGAAAGCTGCATTGGAGGGTTTCAAAAGCCCGAAAATTTAAGATGTTCTCAAAATAAGTTACTATGCCTTGGATGATATTGTCAAGGAGGTTTTCCTTTACATCGCATGTTTCTTTAAGGGTAAAAGTAGAAACTATGTGATAGAAGCTTGTGAGCTAAACACTAGATATGGCATTAAGGTACTCATAGAAAAGGCCCTCATAAGTGTTGAAGGAAGTTATATTCAGATGCATGACTTACTAGAAAAGATGGGTAAGGACATAATTGAGCAGGAGTCGCCCACTAAACCCGGAGGATGTAGCAAATTGTGGTTTCATAAAGATGTCGAGTATGTTATGATTAATAATAAAGTAAGTAAATTAAATTATATATCTGAGTGTAAAGTTTTATTTAATTCAATAACACATGTTGTGTGTTAAGTCACTACTACAAAAAGTGAAAAAGACAACCAAAAAAAGACGACGGTAGAAGAAAAAATCGTCGTTGTATTTAAAAAGACGACGGTAACAAAAAACCATCGTGAATAAGTGACTTAAACAACTAAAAAATGGAGGCACAGTTGAATATTTTTTTATAACGACGCACACAAATAAAAAAGTGTCGTTTTTTAAAAATCAAGTGTCCTTTTTTTGGTAAAGACATGGTTGTTTTGAAAGAACTGTCGTATATTATATGTAAAGATGACAGTTTCAAAAGGGACGTCTATTATGAAGTAAAGATGACGGTTTTTTTTTAAAAAGGGTCGTCTATTATATGTAAAGATGATGGTTTTTTTTAAAAAGGGTCGTCTATTTTATGTAAAGATGATAATTTGTTTAAAAAAGGGTCGTCTATTATGAAGTAAAGATGACGCTTTTTATAAAAAATATTCCTCACCCAAATTCACAATCGTTTGTTTGCAGAAATCAGTAACTTGAGGCGCAAGTTATCTACTCCAAACTAAGTCTGCTAGAATTTTTATTGCTAGCAGTGGCACGCTCGCACACCAAAGAAAGCTGACTTGTCGACCAGTTTATGGTTCTCAAGGCAGTGGGGAACTTTGCCCTTCCATCACAGGAGTGAACGCAAAACGGGCAAACAATTATATGTAAAGATAATGCATTTTATAAAAACCGTCGTCTATTATATGTAAAGATGACGATTTTATAAAGCCGTCATCTATTATGAAGTAAAGATGACGGTTTTTTTTTAAAATGGTCGTCTATTATATATAAAGATGACGCTTTTTATAAAAAGAGTTGTCTATTATATGTAAAAATGACGTTTTTTATAAAAAAAGAGTCGTATGTTATATGTAAAGATGATGGTTTGTTAAAATAACCGTTAAATCATGATTTTTCATTTATAACCGTCGAAATTTTTTGTCCATTTACTTCATCTCTGAATGTTTATTTTTTCCGATTTTTGGTGTATATGATCTCGAAGTATAAACAAACAAGTTTGACGGCTGGATCGTTGAAACTATTTTCTTAGAATGTGTATGCCATCAAAACAATATATTCACTAACAATTAAGAGTTTATTTATACTTTCGTTAGATATAACATAAGATTTTGTGGTATCCACTGGTGTAAATATTTTAAATTGAAGATCAAATTCAGTCATTGTATTCATATATGGTCAAGGAGTGTAGCAGTAAAAAATCATCAAAATCGGAGTTAAAATAACCGTTAAATCATGATTTTTCATTTATAACCGTCGAAATTTTTGTCCCGTTACTTGATCTCTGAATGTTTATTTTTTTCGATTTTTGGCGTATATGATCTCGAAGTATAAACAAACAAGTTTGACGGTTGGAT